GATCTGCGTCCAATGGCATCTGCAGATCTGGCTTCAGAAGGGGTGCTAATTCTACGAATTCCACATTGTCTTTTTGGGCGTGAATACATGTTCTTTGCAAATATATACATCTCTCAAATTAACTGCATTGCTGAAGTTGTGAGTTTCATACAGACCTGATACAAAAAAAACACAGTGTGTCAGGTTCACCACAAATAACAGAAGAATTGGTTTGTTGCCTTAATTCATGTTCAATCTGGTCTAACTAGGTTTGTATGAGGTCCATGAAGCAAAATTTTAAGTTCTCACATTGTATCGGATCCAGATCATTAAATACACATATATCGCGTAAGTCTTTAAAAAAACAATCCACCAATGGATTTCATTTTGTCGTAATGTACACCACCACTTCTCAATGCGTTGGTTAGATGTGCTTTTTCCAGCTACAACGCTTCGAGTACCAGCAATCGGATCTGTAGAATCGTGTCTAAAGCTGCAATAGTAAAGCAATGCAGTTTTCCGTACCAAAATCACATCGTAGTATGTATTGGGTGGGGGGGGGGGGGGCTTGATAATGTTCATTACAGGTGTCTAAAAGTATCTTGCAATAAGATGTGGGTCGTTATTTGAGTCCGAAATCTCTAACCATATTATTTTATTACTATACCCGTTCACAGCTTCATGGATACAAAATGCTTATGGTTTAAGTTTGTCTTAACCGTCCATATATCACATAAAACTGTCCTTTGGCGTAGGATCAAGCGCTCTCATTATTTACATGCCGTCGTCCCCCTTGACCTACGCCATATTGTACGGTATCCTATGCATTGCACTGACCACTTGTTTGTATTTCTCTGTTTATAAAATCAGACACAGTCTCAAAAGGAGTAAATATTTCATTTCACCGTTTTAAATTTAAAAAAGTCTATAACTGTACTAAATGACGTCGTAATGCCATACTGTACCAGAAAGTACTCTATTATCAGCAGAGTCTTGCTTGTTATAGATGTTGAGGGTAGGTATCTTGGCACGGTAGCTTTGGTAATGCCGAACAGTATAATGATGAAGACACAGATCAACATCAAGGTTTTCTTCCTCGTTACCTTTTGTCCTGTAGTTGTGTCTGAAATAAGAGTATATATTTTATCTAAATCTTTATACATTCATATTATATAAAATGGGTAAATCTCTGAGCTCCGTCTTTTAAAGATTGATAGGTGCGAAAAAAAACCATAACATTTAAAATGCTAGTGGGATATTTTGTTCTAACTGGTCCTATATCTATTTGTTTGTTCTTAAGTGTTCTTTTCTCAATTGTTAAAGTATACAACAAAATTAGACATTGGTGCTAAATGCAAATGGTGCTCGATCATAATTAGTAGTTAACTTTGTACTTGTGTGTATGAACATAGCACTTGCCGTTCTTTATGAAATTGGTCAACACTATCTAAGTACTTCAGAGAAATACTGATTCTGTGGTAGCTCAATAAAATGCTGAATTGCGATACATGTTTAATACTGTGCACCATGCCATTTTAAGATGTATATAAAACTTGTATTCCCTTGTTCCTACTTGTAAAACAGTTATTTGTTTGTTTACTCATTTGGACGAGATTTTGTGATGAGGACAAAAAATGAATCAGCACTAATATAATGAACATATTAAGAACAAAGCAGATTGCACAAAACACACAGTCCACACTTGGGGAATTAAAAGTCTGTGATATCTTTACCACTATGGGGTTATATCCCCAATAACATTAAATTCCCTCCCCTCTTAAACACATCCCTCCTCAATGACAAATTTGAATGAAATTATTATTTAAAACGTTTGAAAAACAATACCTGAAACAAAAGTTTGCTGCCTTCAGCTTCTAAAGCACGTGTAAAATGGGTAAGCCAAAACGTCATAAGATTCTGTTAAGTCACAAATCAAAAGTGTCAAAACTCGAAAGTCAAAAGTAAAACATCCGTAAGTCGAAACTCAAAAGTGACCCTCCAAGGCTTCCATATCAAGGTCATTCAACGATTTTTCAATTATTAGATATATATCACCAAATAGTTAAATCTTTAGATGATAGAACATTTACTTGTGTAGTGTTTTGTGACATATCTAAAGCGTTTGACAGAGTATGGCACAAGGGTTTACTTCTGAAACTTCAGAAAAATGGTATCAAAGGTAACTTGTTGAAATGGATTGAAAGTTATCTAATTAATAGAAGTCAAAAGGTCTTTGTAGGGTCTTCTTTATCACAACCACTGACTGTAAACGCAGGGGTCCCCCAAGGCTCGGTGCTTGGGCCATTATTCTTCCTTGTTAACGTTAATGATATTGTAGAAAATTTGCTATGTATAACTCGTTTATTTGCAGACGACACCTCTTTGTCTTGTACAACATCATCAATATTCGATCTAGAAGGAATTCTTAATCATGATTTAGCTTTGATAGACTTATGGTCTAAAACATGGCTTGTACATTTTAATCCTAACAAAACAGAAGCGATTATTTTTACTTTACAATCCAACGTTAACAATCCAAAATTACAATTTGATGGCATACCGGTAAAATTTGTTGAAAGTCATAAACATTTAGGCTTAACTTTTAGTTCTAATGAAAAATGGCACGATCATATTAAAAGTATAACATTATCGGCTTCTAACTTACTAGGTACAATGAGAAAACTGAAATATTTCCTTAATAGGGAAACCCTAAACCAAATTTACATTTCATTTCTTAGACCTCTTTTAGAATATGCTTCTGTAGTCTGGGATGGGTGTACAAATTATGAAAAAGATACGTTAGATAAAATACAGCATGAGGCAGCCAGAATCGTAAGCGGCCTAACCCGTTCAGTTTCTCTCCAAAATTTATATAAAAAATTAATTGGCTCTCACTATCTGATAGAAGAACGTACCAAAAACTTATTTTAACATATAGAATTCATAATTGAGACGTTCCTGATTATTTAAGTAATATTTTCCAGAAAGAGTTCATAATACAACACCATACAATCTTAGAAACTCAGAAGACTTTGCAACTTTAAACAGACGGACTCATATATTTTCTTCTTCTTTTGTGCCTTCGTCCGTAATGCTATGGAACAACTTGCAACCTGAAACAAGATCTGTAGAAAACTCTGTCACATTTTAAATCTCTATTAAAGAAATCAACCTTTCGAATCTACAGACACTCCAAAATGGTACCTTACAGGTGAAAGAAAAACTCTCTGTTTTACACTGCAGACTGAGAAATGCATGCAGTAACTTAAATTTCCACTTATTCTGCAATCATTTGTCACAGGATGCAAATTGTTCGTGCGGTTATGAGATAGAAGATGTTAACCATTTTTTGTTTACTTGTCCGAAATATCGAAATAAGAGAATTGATCTTTTTAACGAATTAAGGCAATTTCACCCTTTAAAATGTCCAATTACTTTTAGTTTTGGTAACAAAGAGTTGTCTTTAGAAAATAATAATAAAATATTTTTGACTGTTCAACAATTTTAATAAAAGTAAGCAAACGCTTTTGATTTTGAAAAACAAACCAGCACAATCCCAATAAATATTAATGTATTTTTCTTTCATTTTTTGCAAAACAATAGACAAGATTCTTTCCTTTCTTCTTTCTATTTTTTTCTTCTATATTTCATTTTCTCAAAATCTATTTTGTTTTTGTTATATTCGGCAAAATGTACATGTTTTCTAAGTCATTGTAACGCGCAAATATATAAAAAATCAGTTAAACATCGTTAAATACCATTCAAGCTAGGAGAACATGTACACCCAATCATTTTTATTGTTCTTTCTTACCTAAAATCATTTTAAAGCCAAGTACTATATATGTGTGAGTTTTGTTAATTCTATCTAACTGATAGTCATTCTTGTAAAATAAGTTATTGTAATTTATTGCATCAGGGAAGACCCGTTGCTAATGTTGAGAGAACTTAATTGTGGGTCAACCCTTTTGCCAAATATGTCATGTCATTGTATTGTAATTGTCTACATGTATGTATATGTCTTATTTTTGGCAATAAAATATGTTTAAATCAAGTTTAAGAAATAAAACTTCGCCCCGTGGGGCGGAGCAAGATTTAAGAAATAAAACGGCAGGGCGCGGAGCGAAAACACGATAATTAGCGGGGGCACGGGGCGAAGTTTAATAAATAAAACTTCGCCCCGCGCATTCGCTAATTAGCGTGTGTTCGCCCCACGACCCCGCCAAGCAAAAAGTCGAGAAATAACAAGTTGAAATGGCGGGAGCGCGGAGCGAAAACACGCTTATTAGCGAGGGCGCGGGCGAAGTTTAAGAAATAAAACGTCGACCCGCGGGGGCGCGGAGCGAGATTTATAAAATTAAACGGCGGGGTCGCGGGGCGAAAACACGGTTATTAGCAAGGGCGCGGGGCGAAATTTTATTTATTAAACTTCGCCCAGCGCTCCTGCGTATTACCGTGTTTTCGTCCTGAGACCCTGCCAAGCGAGAAGTCGAGAATTAGCGTGCTTTCGCTCCGCGCCCCCGCCGTTTTATTTTTATTTGTTTGGCTCGTCAGACCAAACAAATAATGGTAGCGAAATTTCAGACCCTGATGCTGTTAATTGCAAATGCCGAAAGTAGTCCGCTTTTTTGAAGCGGTTACTTCCCTTTATATGTACAATAACGCCGAAAAATTCAGGGGAGATCACTGCGTAAAGATTGTCAAATGACATGCGCAATAATTTTCAAGCAAAATAGTTCCCGAATGGTCGAAGATTTCTAATATTGTTTTGTTCTTTATAGATATACATGCTTATGGTATGCTCCATGATTATTAGCATCTGTGTTAAATAACAGGTTTAGCGTCGAAATAATAAGAGTTACAAACCATCATTGCACGCTCGCTTAGGAATCGAGAGGTCTGGAGTTCAAATCCCAGTTAAGGCAACTCATTTTTTTTTAAATTGTTTAAGTCAAATAAACATTGAATTGAATATCAGTGTTGTAATAGCCAATTTACTACAGTAAAACCACTGGAAATTTCTGACATTCTGAGACCCAAACAAATTCAGCGCCTTCTGTGCTTTGATTTAAATCTCGCTTCGGGCTCTGGCTAATTAGCGACTTTTCGCTCCGCGTCTCCACTATTTTAACTTGTTAATTTTCGACTTCTCGCTTGGTGGGGGTCGCGGGGCGAAAACACGAATGGCACTAATCAGCCACCATAAAAAAGCAAGTTCACCATGAAAATTATGCCCATCCGGAAAACCATGTCCACCATAAAATATATGTTCACCCTAAAAACCATTTTCATCCTAAAATATGGCATACACAGTTGCTTGAGTAATCAAAAGGTAGTGGTCAAGCCTTGCACAAATGTTTGACTTGAATGATATCTGTCAAAATACAGTAACCAAGAGTTTCAGTCTTTGACTCGGCCATGTATTACGTTTTATATGTATTGTTTTCATGTTTTGAAAACTGTTTAGTAACCCTTCACATTGTTTTGATTTTTATCAAGTTTTTGTGAAATCTTACAAGTAGAATTCTACTTGAAATACCATGAATGAATATAATTATTTTTAGCTTTACATAATTGTAATAAAACAAGTGTCATTTTTATCACTACTACAAGTATATTTATATAAACACTAGTCAGACCAAATTGTGATTCATTGCATATAACTATTGGCTCTGAAAATTAAACTTAACATAATCATGTGATAAAATTAATGTAATACACATTGTATCATGTGATAAAATTAATGTAATACACATTGTCAAGAATCTGTTGTCTTTTTCCACTTTCATGTTTGGCAGAAAACTGCTACCGTCGAATATTTTTGTTTTTTGCCGGAAAATGGTTTACTACCAAACCGTCCGTATAAGGAATTAAATATTGTATATTATATTGAAATCACAATCCGAAAATGAAACAAAATATCTTTTCACAAACTTTTAAAAAACACTATCCATATTATACAGTCCTTCATGACGGTGTGATCTTTGAAATAACACATGTGTCTTTTGGAATTTGTGTTAACCTTTGTACGTGTGTTTGAGAATCGCTAGTTAATTCTCCAGATGACTTTCTCTTACACGCACGCCGGAAACGCGAGTCGAAAATACTATAAATAATAGGATTTACTGCACAGTTCAGGAAGTAGGATCTTGTCAAGATTTTGTAAACACCTTCACTTCCGCTGGAAGAGCCGTCTGCTGTAAACTTGCTTTTGAATTGTCTCACAATAAGATGTGGGAGGAAACTGCAAATGAACGCTATAGTAACCAGAAACATGACGAAAGTGGTTCTTTTTGCAGTCTGCTGGTTTCGGGTGTAAGCTTGTGAACCAGCTTTTCCTAAACCGTCCTTCATGTTACGAACGTGGCTTCTCACTTTGTTTCCAATCATGCAATACAGTATAACCAATATGATTACACTGCTTATAAACAAAATCGCAAGAGTAAGTGTGTATACAACCGGAAATGACGTATCTTTTACATTATTATCAGTCCCACATTCACTTCCGGTGAGATTGAATTTTGGGATATCGAAAGTATCTTTTCCGTAAATGGCGATTGCAGGCCATGAAACCATCGTTGCGAGGATCACAGATGCAACGCATAACATCTTTGCGACAGATGCTTTGATTTGCCATTCAAATGGTTTCAAAATTTTCCGGAATCTATCGACAGCTATCATTATCAACATGAACGTTGAGGCATTTGTGCAAACGCCATTTATGAATCTGGCCAATTTACAGAGCCACCCAGGCTCAAATGTAAACTGGTCTAGGACAGTGACTATCTCAAGAGGAATTGCTACACAACATGAACACAAATCTATAGCTGCCAAAGTTAGAACAAAACACTGAACGTTAGAAAACTTGAATCGCGTTCTGTAAATGTGAATAACTAAACTATTCCCGACTATGCCAGTCAGTGAAATGACGGAGAGAAATATAACAGCAGGAATAAGCTTGTCAAGCTCGTTATTGTTCAAATCCTGTAAACTCGACTCTTGTTCTTCCTCTGACATTTCTGTCTTGTTCATTTTTCCTGAAAAACAAAACCCAACACATTAGAACAATTTATGTCGGTTCAGTCCGTCTTCTATAATTAAAACGTATGCTCCCAGTCCGTGGCCGAGTGGTTAAGTTTGTTCTCACCCTGTGGGTTCAAATCAAGCCAGGGACTTTATTTTTATTCATGTTAGGAAGCTAAGAATGTCAGTGGTTCTACTCAGGGTCTGTTTGTGCCTGTAATAATGTAATGTAATGTATTAAGGGTTCATTAATTACATACGCGACTTTATATCAGCATATATAGCGTATAAAACGCCTGCAACATTTTACTGCAGTTGACTCTCAGTGACTCTACGCTTTATTCGAAAATTCGCTTTAGCCGGTCGAAGTATTTTGATTTTGAAGTCCCGTAAAATTTTCTTTAAATTATATATTTTAAAACACCGCGCCTCCAAATTCATGATAATTTTTATGGAAATTTGAAAATGTGTCTGAATGTTTAATATTGTGGAGTAAACAAAATGAAGCAATTTACACATTTCAACCAACGTAAATTACTAAAACGTGGTCAAAATATGCATAAATAGCCCTTACTGCGTTAGTAACGCAGTATAAATATACATGTAGTTGTAAATGCTGAAAAAATCAGCCATTAATTGCACAGAACATGTAAAATATTACTTGAATCTTGAATCTTTTTGCATATCCTAAAATTTTAGTACATTTTTATCAAGTCTGATTTTATTGAAATATTTTGACTCATCCGGCGGCATGCAGCTTTAACACCGTTTACGACACATTTTGACATACTCCAAACTCCGGATATCTAGAAAGGATTTTTTTTGCCCCGACAAGAAAATCTGTATCAATTTTCTTCTCAGAAATGTTTAAGTGTATATTATATATGATATTATCATAACCAAATATATTCCCTCATTCTTTGCCTTTTGCCAGAATATCAATATCAAGTTTATAAAAAAGTGTTTGTTTTATCGAGCGTTTTTTGTACTACAGAAAAACCACTAATGATTTGATGTGACTGGTAGGAGAAGAGCAAAATACTTTCATTAATATTATTTCCGAACGCTTTTTTTATTCTGCGTATCTCATTGCTCTGAGTCGTAATTTAAATTAAAATGAAAGAAACTTACAAATAACACTGTCTAGCAATAATTTTATCTTTCTTTTAAGCTTCTATCCAAAATTGTCCTTTCATTGTTTTGCAATGCACATAATGCAAACGAAACCATCCTCTTAATTTGTTTACATATCAAAAGCATCATAGACGTATATATTAATCTAATATGTATCCTATTTATGAACAGAAGCGATTGCAGATTACCAGAAATTACATACGTTTTTGGTTGAAATAAATCCTTGATATGAGCGTGCATTTAAAAGGTTATTGCAAACGATAAATACGGAAATATCAACGGAAACTCCCAAATGACTTCTGGCAAACAAACAGAACAAGTAGTTACGAGAAATTATGATGATTGATAATTAGATGCAAATATTTCGTATTAAATGTGAGTCATTTATACACCAAATAACTTTAAAGTGCTGTGTGCGGCAATCCGAGATTAAAAAGACATATTACTCGTAGTGTATAGCCAAAATGGCCAACACCATCAACGTACAAAGACCGCTTCTGTTTGATGCGTTAAAGAAGCACGCCTCAAGATTTATGCTAATTTTCATGAACATTTTGAAAATGTATTTAAAATAAAATATTGTGAAGTGAACAAGACAATAATTTTCCTGTAAACAGTTAACCCATACTGCGTTTAGTCACGCTGTAGCAATTATGGTGATTAATACTGTAAACTCGGTCATTCATTGCATATTACATGTAAACCATTACTTAATTGAATGGTGAATATTTTTTTATTTTATTTAAATGTCATTGCTTGTGAGTGCAGTTGACACTGTAGATCAGACCATCGTTTAATACCATATTCTTTTGAGTTATTTTTAAAGTGTATTAGTCACTCACATAATATCATCACACTAACTCACGCATTGTGTAATCGACGTTTCATTAATGTTTTGGAGATACATTCAATTGTAAGAGGTATGTTTGACACAGGAAACACAAATCAATGGATACTTGATGACCCCACTTGAATGAGGCTATGACCGCGGCATAGTTTCAAAACAGATAATATACTTTCGAATATTTAAGTATGATATAGTATTGTTTTACATGCATGTCAATGTCTACAATTTAACCTTTTCTCATGCACTACACTGTGTACGTATTTGAATGCTTTTGGAAAAATACTTATCATAATTATGCAACAGGCAGTGCAAGGTTGATTAGACGCTTTTTGTTTGGATGACAAAACAGACGGAGATATGTTCAACAAAGATGCAGTACGGGAACATTCAGTCGGGCTACGAAATCCAAAACTCGGATTCCGGCGCTAATTGTCCAAGGGCAGAACATGGTTACAAAAAATAACACACTAACACATATCATATAATACACGCATCTAATAAAATCTACGGAAAGATGTCAATAAAACTAACTTAGTAATCACATCACTTGTACAAAGTCATGCGCTAGTCTGAACAATCTAATTGGTTTTGAATATCAAGAAAAATACTAAAACTTAGCAGGCATAACTGTATCTAATTGGTTCAGACTGCTCGTAGGTTCAGACTAGCGCATGACTTTGTACAAGTGATGTGATTACTAAGTTAGTTTTATTGACATCTTTCCGTAGATTTTATTAGATGCGTGTATTATATGATTTATCAGGGCATGAAAATTATACAAATTCGTGGGGTTAACTATATTTGAACATGTAATTTTCAAGCCAATAACATAGTGAGGTGACCGAGCGCTCAGTTGTATAGGATGCTCCGTTCGTGTGCTTTAAAAGACACAAATTATGCATCAGAAAAAAAAATCTTCTTCTTTTTCAAAGTCAAACATTGATTATTTTACGGTTATTTAATGTTTAAGAGCATATTAGATGTTTATCACTTGAAGAAAGCAACGACGAATATGAAACCATTTGTCATAAATGAAGCAAAATGTAAAACAACTTAGCATTAATCTCAGTAACTATACTAATTGCCAAAAGATAACAAAGGCAAAAGATGGTTCAGGTATTTGGCTAATAAGTAACTTTTTGAAAACTATAACAGGATGCCAACATGTAAAGGACTTTGACGAAACTAAAATAATAGCATTTCTGCGACACAATGGTCCTTTATAAAACGCACGTCTGTATAAATTTGTATATGTTTTGACACGAATTGACAAATAATTCCATCTAATAAATGTATTGTAGACGGATCTTGTTACCCTGTCTTCACTCTCCGCTGGACAGGTCTTGGTCGGTCTTTGACGATGTCAGCAGCTAGTTTGCCCTGACAAAGCCGATTAACACCAAATTTATTGGAGACATGTTGATTTACAAATCCTTAAATTTCTGTTACCATGATTTTTTTTTGTCTTAAAAACAAAATAATCTATTCATAAATAGAGCTAATTAAAGTCTCACTTTCGATTTTGATTTTTATATCATGCTATATTTTCTTTATTACTAAATCAATTTCAGAATTCTTTGGACTGCCTAACTGATGACAATAAATAGATAAAAACTAGGTTAACCAGGCATCAAGAAGCCTAAATATATCTTTACTTTTTGTCGAGCAGAAAAAATGACACCGAAAGTAATATGTTATTTATAACGACTGCGTTTTTCAGCCAGAAATACAAAAAGTAGATGTAGGTGGTAAAATATGCGACGCCCTTCAAAACTATTTGACCGCTTAATTCTTGATATTTGAGTCATATCTTGCTTAAAGGGACTCCACTTAGGTTTCTTGACATGATGGGACTGAAAATATTTTTTCCAGACGAATGTAACATTTGATGTAGGTTTAGACCACTAATCTGTGTGCGAAATTTCAGATCATTCGCGCACTTCGTTTTTCCAGAATAATAATTCAAATTGTAAAAATATGACCAAAATGAAAAGCGTTTAAACGGTTTTCACTCAAATTGGGCTAAGAAAAGCATAAAAATACGAATTTCAATTTATTTCAAAATATAGTTCCCAAATATCTTTGCATATATTTCTATTTAAAGTGTCCCAGCTCATTTATGTAAGAAATTCAAAAGTTATATATTTTAAGGCCTTTAAACCTCAGTGGAGTCCCTTTAAGTAATTTATTATTAGGTATTATTATTATTTCGTGATCGAAGTCGAATTACACAACTATGACCATTTCACTTCATTTATTGGCAAATCGTCTGACCATTTACAAATGCTAAATATGGTCAAGACATGCAGTTTACATATAATTACACAAATAACGACATATTTAATCTTTAAATAATAAATGATCACCAAATGTCTAACATTAAGTAAATTTAAACTCACAAATGAAATAAATCCTACGAAGCAGCGTTAAATTTCTCAACTTATAAGCTTCCGTTAAAAACTTCATTTTTTTTTTACAATACTAGTGACATAATATTAATGAACTTTTGCACTGAAGGCCAAGCATTATTTGCAAAATGTTTCTGTCGTAAATCATTATATTTATTACAGCATAATAAAAAATGGTACTCTGATTCAACTGATGTGATGAACATAGTTTACATATACGATTTTGTCCTTCAATGCCAGTATATCTACTTACTTCAATACCAAGATTATGTGCTGACCAATTGACCAATACTGGCTGTTTAAATTGACCTACGCATTTATGTTCTGGCCTTTTCTCAGTTAGTTTGTTTGTTTGCTAACATAAGGACATGAGCCGTGACGTTGGTCTTGTTGTTATTGTTGTTTTTGTTTGTTTTTTCGAGCGATAAAGATAAAACCTTTTTTTCCTTCAATTGATAGACGCAAAATAATCAGAGAATTTATCAGACGGAAGTGAATTAATATTGATTTAAAAGTAACACAATTATTTTTCTTCCGTTTGGTGCATTCATTATTTCACGGTGTCTGTTATGTGGGATTTATGCAAATACACGGGTTTTGGTATTGCTGTTTTAAATAAGACACACACAAAACAAATACAGAGAATTAGTTATATTTCCGTACATGTATTTTCATTTTTAAACGTCCTTAAATTTTTTAAATTTTATCTTTACCATCAAAAAACACCAGATTATGCGTCATATATACAAACGAACGCAATGTAAATATTTTATATTATAATTGTTAATTAATGATATAGCTCGGCGTTAAGCTACTCGCAGTCACCGTTTATCCCTGTGTGCTCGTAAGACGCGACTAAATGGGTTCGAATTACTGGAGTCTATGCATCTTGGTAAGGTGGTTTTGATCCCTGCTGTTGCAAGTTTGTAACATCACAAGTTAGCCAAAATCATCTTTCCTGTTCCGGCTCGATATGACCTGAATTGTGTTGGTGCACCGTTAAACCAAACCAAACAATCAAACTAGTATAGCATCCTTCATAAGCATGAACTAAATAGAACATCAAATTGTTTTGCACGTAATATTAAAAGCTGCCTCTAGATGAGCCGAAGATTTTCAAGAAAAACAATTTGAGAAAAATGTACTAAGTTTTTTTTAAAAAGTAAAGATGTTCACAATTCAAATAAATTTCTTACGTGTTACATGCAATAAATGGCCTATTTTGCAATATTTATCACCATATTACTACTGCGTGACTAACGCAGTAAGTGCTGTTGTTTGCATATTATTTGGTAATTTATGTGGTTGAAAGTTACTTTGCAATGTAGTTTATTTGTTCACTTCACAATATTTTACTTTTTAATACATTTTCGAAATTTTCATGAAAATTCGCAAGGATGTGGAGACATGTTGCCTTAGCTAACACCAATTGTATTTTTTCCTGTTGGCTGTGCAAAGCTATAAAACATAATCTGATCTTACACTAACCGAGATCACATTATTCTTCAGAAACAATAAACTTTTCCTTCTATTTAAATGGCAATCATGAGATGTTTAACCTTAAAATAATGATTTTAAAACATTTTATTTGCTAATTATCTGAAGAAAGTATAGCGTTGAATGTGAAATTATATAATTTGTCATGTAAACGAAGAAGTATACAAGTTGTTTTCCATAAAAAAATCACTGTATAACTGTACTAATTGCCTCTGAAAAGCAACAGAAGCGAACGATGTTTCAGGTAATTGGACAATGAGTAACATATTGGGAACTACAATGGGAGATATTAACAAAATAGCTTTTAAGAGATAAAAATAGAGCATGCCTCGGGCATGATAATGGACCTTTAAACAAATCTGGAAATCCTCTTTATATTTCATAATACAAATAGCATTGTACATGCAAGTACATTTGCATTGTAATCAACAATATACATGTTCCAAACAGACGATCGAGTGCTTGACAATTAGGTAAATTAATCCCAACTTTAAATAACAAAACCTATGTTAGATAAACGCAATGAGCTATTTAATCTTATTTAAATTCTAATTTACGAATATTTTACAATCATTCAAATCAAAGTATCTGAAAATATCCTACCTTTTTATAAACAGCCAAGTAAATATTTCCGGACATTAGATACTGATTGTAAATATACATATGTGAGCTTACTTAATACAACGATCAGAAAATCACGTGACCGGAAGACATCTCTTTTGATGTTCTATGACCGGATAGCCATTGCACTACTACGTACGTTATGAATAAAACTGATTGTTATCAAAAAGTATGACGGCTAAATATAGAAATATCTCAAATTTATATCAATATTCAATTACTTAAGAGCAGACAGTTAATTGCGGTGTTCTAATGAATACAAGATCGATTACGCAAAAAATTAACGCCACTGTGCCGCAATTTTTGTGCGTTATTATGTTACATAACAAGAATAAGTGTTTTCAGAAATGTCAGGAGTTACCGTACAGTAATTTTTTTTTTACAGTCTTTTTTTTTAGTTTTTCTGTCGTTCATTTCGTACAGTCTGATTGGCAAAGGGCATGCCGTGTACGAGTAGAATTGCCATCAAGGAATAGTGACGCAAAAAAATCTCTCAAAAATATTTAACTTACTGGTGCAAAAATGATACATATATTGTCATTCGGATACAAAAATGTATATAAATGCAAGAGTTTGAGTGTTCACCCGGTGACATATTCAGTCTATGCTATTTAGGAAGATGAACAGATGCATTGTGAGGTTATTATGTATTGTTATATGTTTTAGAGAAGTCTCGTATACATATATTTGGATTTATTCAGACTGACATTGCATTGTTTTATAGATATATTAATATTTGCCATTGTCGGGTATAGTTTGATAAGACTAACAAATAAAATATATGTGAGTTAAATGCTAAGAAACAGCAGCTAATCACATCAAGAACTTTTATAACATTTCAACCATAAGAACATTGCAAGGATTTTTTTTTTTTGCAAAATCGCTGTGATAATGAAAAAGGAAGGTAACTCTTAGGTGCATTTTAGAGGTTCTCGCAGGAGTTGTCTTCCCTTCATGACTTCAATATGAATTAATGAACAATTATGAGTTTATGTTCAAATGTTGTATATGTTCCTATGTATGGATGAGACTTTTAATAAAGATTATATATTCAGTGTGGCAATACCACGTGACATTTACGTCATTTTTGGCATCATTTCCAAGACAAATACTAGTATTGCTCGATTCGGAAAAGAAAATAGCCGTAAATATTTTATTTCTGTATCAATATCTTTGGGATATGCACCAGTCTACGGGGAAAAATATAAGCTGTCCACAGAATATTGGATCTCCGTCAGTTTATAAGTCGTTTTATCAAACACTTTGCATAACCTTGGAAGTTGCTTGTATTAGAGCGGACTTCGGTTGCAAGCTATTTCGTTTTCTGGTGTTATTTTGTTCTACGCCATGATTAATAGGTCAGGTTTACATCAACCGGGGGTACAGACAGCAAAATCCTTCCTTAATATGTTTATATGTTAATTATTTATGGCCTAAATCTTGCCATTTTCTTCAATTGTCACTTCTGGCACCAGTTCCAAGTCGAAAAAAGGGACTACAGTTCAAAGCAGATTTTAGAATCTGTTGCAAATGCAAAGCAACATGCCTACCGGTCTCTTTCTACAATTTACTGTTTCATTGTTGATCTTTCACAAAGAGATTGTGAAAAAACTGATCGTGACTTAAAGCAATAACACTTACTTGTATCGCAATAGTGCACCGAAAAATAAAATTTTGGTTTCGTTTTGAAGATGTTTATAGTATTGCTCATCTTATCCTATGTAGTAAAATGTGATTTATTCTATTACACAATGGCGAAATTGATAAGAAATAAATTTGCTCTCAGTGAGAGAAAGAGTTAAAATAAAACAATGCTACGGAAAGGGTTACACTATAACGCGAGTGTTGTAAAAAGGCTAAAGGTAATTTTTTCAGTCTATTTTTTGTAAAGAGTAACTGACAAACACTGACACTCGTGAAAATGACGAATAGGTTCTTCTGTCCCCAAAAGAGAGACGTTGAAAAGGTATATATTTTTCTGGAATTGACGTATAATAAATTTCTATAAAGTTTGATAAACAAAAATCACAATTTAGAATTAAAATCCTGAATCTAATTGTCACGCGCATTAACATGACGTTCACATTTTATGCTTATTTAACTATTAGCATATTCATCATCAGTCAGATTTTGTTCTTTGTGTAGAACAATTTTAAATAGCATTACATATAACTTGAAACTTTGCGTGTAAACCTGATAGTATTGTTACTTAGTTGCGTTACTTATGATTCTCTATTTATCAAAAAGGCCCAAAACAGCGCTGAGTCGCCAATAAAAACGAGAACGGACGCCATGTGGAGTAAACAAAGTAGAAAATAGTAAACAGATAAATGATTTTTACAAACCAACAGCCATCGATCAAAGTCAAATTTCTTGAAACAAAACATTCTAAAAGTCGGACATAGCAATGATTATCAATGATTATATAAATATTTACATTAGCAACACGACTGGGTCCAAATATGACACTGATGCATTCATTGAATTATTGATAGCTAACATAAGCTAAGTAAAATTACGAATACATTTGAAGAGTATATTCAAGTTTTATTCTTCAACTGTCAAATTACTTACTTCTTTATTCACATATCAGATAATTCATTTATTTGGCATATGCATTATGTTTATCATGTTTTAGATTTTAATATGTAGTCCTTTTTTTAAATCTTAAATTGCAACAAAAATCCTGTTAAGGACATCTGTAGGTCATGCCGCGTGCAATAATCCATGCATTTACATCCAATGACCACATCGATAAGAAATAGTCCCAAATAGCCCTATCGTTTTTATTCAGTTGGAAGAGACATTATTGTTGAAAATTCTACTCGATTTAAATGTTTTCAAACCATAAATATTCCGTTCCCTTCCTCTCTTTACAATGTGTATTGGTGAGCTCTTTGATAAAGCTCGATTGACTGATATAATTAACTTAATTTGTCAAATATGTAGTTTATCAACAGAAATAAATGCAATAATAAAATAAATAGTGTTTAGTGTTCTTAAGTGAACGAAGTTATATCCAGTTCACGAAAAACGGTTATCGTTGGTATGAAAACAGGATGTAAAATATTTTTTATCAACGAGTGACACTGTATTAAAAAGTTGAATCTATTATACTTAAACATTGCTACAGGTTTATTGTATTTTCTGATCGTAAGATCAGTAAATACATAGCTAACACCCACGGTCTAACACAAAATTTCCTAACAGTCCTAACAACGCAAAGTAGTTCTCACTCAAAACTGCTTAAAAACCAGCAATTCAAAAGAAAGAATAATTTTTTATGTAGGCATTTAACGAATTACAGTGCATTAAAAGTTTTAGATTAGTCAATAGTAATATGAGGTTACAATCACAAATTTCGCGGATGAATATCTTTTTTTACCCAATGAAAAATTTTTTCGGCTATTTCCGTAAAGCTTTGGATTATCATGAATATCATTTTAATCAATGAAAATGCTATTTTTTAGCTATGCCAATTACCGAATACCCAGAGCGTAGTACACAAATAAAAATCTGGAATATATACATGTCGGACTGTTTTGGCGAGAAGATTTTCGATAAATTATTTCCATCAGTGTTAAACTGTAACAATATCAGATACTAGTCTAACCTGCATGATTATTTTACCTTGACCTTTATAACTATCAGTACTATTCCATTAATGCTTGAATGGGCAGTTCTTATGTATAGACAGGCGATTCCCGCCACTAGCCACTTCTGAGATTAAACTTGAAAAAGCTCACATAGATCTGTGTTCTTACTTCAATCTATTCACATTTGTGAATTACTGAACTCCGTATCCATAATAAATATACGTACATAAATTACACAAGAAATATTACAGTTAAACAACACGTTTATCGTGAACAAAATACCTCGAAATTAATAAGGATTACAAACACGAAATGGAAATTCTCAATTTAGAATTACATAATGTATTTCGTTTTTTATTTAAGGTTCATATGTATAACTTCGCCGTGGTGCAGAGGTAAGCGGTCTCGTTGAGGGTGTGAGAGGCCTATGGTTCAAATTCTAGTCGAGGCAATTCTTTTTTTTTTCATGCAAAATTCCATATGTAAATCTCAAACTGTTATAGAAAGAAAATCCAAAACGCTGTCGCTGCGTAAGATGAATAATAGTATATAAAAATAAACTTATACAGGAAAGTACATACAGATAGTCAGTATGATTTAGATTGCAAAGATCAGAAAATACCATAGAGCTGCAGCCCTTTGATAACATTATGGTTATACGTATAAATAACTCTTTACAAAAGAATACCCTTTGACTTTGAAATTGCCACGTTGAGGCATAACGCTTTACAGCATAAAAATGGAAGTGATCCTGAATGTGCACGTTCATTGGGCATTCTATAGCTAAGTCAATTTTGCCGTTTTGGGTTTCTGTTTTCTCTCTATTTTGAATACGTTTAGTATTGCTACATGACACTTATAGATTTTTCATAATCAAGATTACCGTGAAAGAACAATGATTAAAGAGCAAATCAATTTTCTTTTTACAAATACACATGTACAGACAACAATTTTTTACGACTTTTAAAAATCACTTATAGCGGCAGCAAGTAAAAAATCATTAAATATTTCATTTTGTGTTTATGCTAAATCGTACAGTAAATAACAAAATGTTTTTTTATGGTTAACATAATTATAGAGAACGAACGGTAGGCATGTTGCTTCGCATTTGCAAACAGATTCATAAATCTGCTTTAAACTGAAGTCCTTTTTTTTCGACTTTGGAACTGGTGCCAGAATTGACAATTAAAAAAAATGGCATGATTTACGCCATAAATAATAACCATATAAACATATTAAGGTAGGATTTTGCTGTCTGTACCTCCGGTTGATGTAAACCTGACCTATTTATCATGGCGTAGACCAAATAACACCAGAAAACGAAATAGCTTGCCAAACTGAAGTCCGCTCTAATACAAGCAACTTCCAAGGTTATGCAAAGTGTTTGATAAAACGGCTTATAAACTGACGGAGATCCAACATTCTGTGGAAAGCTTATATTTTTGCCCGTAGACTGGTGCATATCCCAAAGATATTGATACAGAAATAAAATATTTACGGCTATTTTCTTTTCCGAATCGAGCAATATTTGTCTTGGAAATGA